TAATCAAAAAACATTGAAAGAGAATAATGAATGAATTAAAGAAACACAATGTGGTACAATAAGGGTTACCTGAAGAGAAACCCAATTTTTAATAGCACCAAGGTAATTCCCAAGATGAACAGAACCTGTTGGTTGTACTCCAGATACTATCCTTTTCCTTCAAAATCAAATCTTTACAAAATTAGAATATGTTAAAACAAAAGTATTTAAAGGAGAAGATGAAGAAAGAATTCAAGAAATGAGAAGAACTTACTTGATTGAACTTGAAGGAGAAGAAGTGTTAGAAGAGCTAGGTGTTTCAGATACAGAAGCAGTAGCGGGACTACTACTACTACTGGTACAATTGCATCGAAAGACATTTAAATTAGTAGTAGTAGCACTAGCAGCACGTAATCCTCCTCGAATTGATCTCAGTTTCTTCAAATATGAATTTGAAATTCTGCCGCGTAACCTGCAAAAACCAACAAACAATCAGAAAGTTCGACTTTCAATCGTAGAGAGAGAAAGAGAGAGAGAAACATGACTAGTAGTAGAAGAAGATGAGATGAAGTGTACATTGAAGAAGAAGACAACGACGAAGAGAAAGGAAGAAAACGAGAAGATGAAATAGAAGTAGTGTTGCAGAGGATGAGGAGAGGTGAACGACCCATTTTTCTGTTCTTCTCACTGCTTTCGAATACCGATATGATGATACCTTTGGGCTTTTGTAATCTGTTCAAATCGGCCCAGTTTAAAGCCCTTTGTTCAAACCGGCCCAATACTAAACCCAAATTAATGAATTATCTCACCCGATGCACAATGGACCTTTTAAAGTCGGATGATTACACTTCTATGTGTTAAAGCCTTGTTGTAAGCCCACTTAACATGTGTAAATTGTAAAAAAACTCCCGGGTTCTTCTCTTCTTCTCAGTTTCCACAAGATTTATTTCACCAACAACCTACATAGTTACATATATGTATGTACCTGGTGCACAGTTTACATATATTCTGAACGTTTTTTAGGTACAATATAAGTTTTATATATGCATTTTCAACAAACAAAAAAAAACCGTTTGTTTCTTTATAAAAAAAAATCCAATTCAAGACAGGCAGACTGATAAATACCTCAGTACTGTGATCATCTTTTGCAGTTTAAACTCTTTCTTCCCATATGCACTGCCAGGTTCTTCTCTTTCTCCTCAAACTGCAGTACTAAAGTTTTGCATGGGGGTCATTGTGAGCCTGTCTCTCTCTCTTTCTATATTGCTTAACATTTCAAACACTTAACTCTGTTACGTACAGGCTCACCGCTCACAGCAATGAGGAAGACTCGAATTATTCTTCTTCTTTCGCTATCAGTTATTCTGATCTTCAACACCTTCTCTTTGGCATCTCTTTCAAAAGAAGAATCGTCAGATATAGATGACGATTATGATGAAGATCTTGAC